ACCAGTGAATGAATGAAAATATATCCCTCCTGCTCTGAGCCAGTAGATGGCAGCAATTTGTACTGAGACAGAAGCAGAGTCACTGTTCACTGGCAGAAACAACACACACAAACACACACAAACACACACACACCGAGCACCCTCTAACCGTCTTTCCCATGATGTCATAGCCAACAGCCAGCATGGGAATATCTGTCACATCCACTTAGTTTCCTGCTGCCTCCCAGCTCTGTGTGAGTCTGCGTGTTACAGTATCTATAGTGTTGGAACAGTTGGCTGCCGGCTGATCGCGGCCACCAGTCTGATCCGTAACTGAAATTGTCAGACTGTGAATAATCATCTTAATTTCCCACACTCCTTTCTCTGCATACACATAAATATAGGGTTGGGATGAGGAGATTTTCCAGCTTTACTTTACAGTCTGTGTGTTCTTGCTGAGAAACTCAAAACATTTTCTATTTTGTGTATGTGTGTTCCTTGCATGTGGAGTTTTTGCAGTGCCACTGAGTGCTTTGGCATTTCTTTTTTTGGCATCTCTCTCTCTCTCTTTTTGTGTTAAAGTAGCCTCTTGTTCCTCAGGTAAAGACAGAGACTGGTGGAGAGGGAGGGACAGAGGTGGTTTCAAAATGCCCAGCAGAAGGACAACACCCTCCAACCCCATCCCTCCCTCTCAGTCTCCACCACCTCCGCCTCCAAAGCCTCCCCTTCGCTCACGCCGCAAATCCAAGTCGCCCTCGTCACGCTCCACCCACACGACCCCAAAACGGGCCTTGGATTTGGACAAAATCGGGGGAAGCTCTGACCCGGAGGACAACAGGCAAACCCACAGAGGGTCCCGAGACCTGCGGGTCTCCCAGGGGTCCGAGCTGGACAGGAAGTGGGAGGGTGTGGCCTTGGAGTTGCGTTGCCGCGGCAGCAGGATGAGGTCAGCCGTGTACCAGACTTCAGATCTGCCCTCCATGGTCAAAGCCAAGAGACAGCTGGGGCAGAGCGAGGGCAAAGGTCAGATAGACCGGAGCAAACTGAAGGCCACTTTCGTGTGAGGATGTGCAGCTGACTCACAGTGTCTGGCCCACTGACGTCGTCGCACTGACCACAGCGATGGCCTCTGCAACAACTGAAACCGTGTCTCGGTTTAACGCCAAGGCAAAGGGCCCAGAGTCAACAACGGTGCAGCTGCTCCCAGACTCCCGACTGAGCGCTGCTATTAGGAGATGGCAGGCGGAGATTAATCAAAAGCTGTGTCCCAGTTCCATACTACACACTCAGCAAATACTGTGCAGGGGGGGAATATATTAACTCCAGCACAACATTAGGCACTTCTGCTTCATTTCAGAGGGAAAATATTATGCTTTTTTACTCCACTGCATTTAGCTATTGTTCCAGGCAATTATTTTTCATGCAAAATATTATGATAATATTCTAAAACATGATTCATTGCTTTGCATGAAAACGCCCACAAAGAAGTTCAAATCAGCTCCGGCTTGACTACACTGTTTACAAAAAAAGACCTTTTAACTGTAAATTTTAAAATAATTTACTGTTATTTTACAGATTTTCCCTGTTTTGTCATGTTACAGATAATAACTAGCAAAATCACTGAAAACAACTATCAGCTACATGTTAACTATAAAAAAAACTTTAAATAACATTCATATAAAAAATCTGTATTTTTACAATTAATTCCTTTACAACATTTGGCCATATGGTTTTTTTTATGTTTTTTTTTTTAAAACTGTATTTCTTTAAGATATTTTCTGATATTTGAAAGAGATAGTATGTGTATTAGATAAAAAATATAAATAATATTTACTTAAATAAATAATATTTTTGTGTTATTTTACAGATTTTCCTGTTTTGTTAAATTACACATAAGAAGAAGAAGAAATTTACACATTAACCATAAAAGAGGACACAATTGTAAATAACACCCTTATTAAAAATCTTATTTTTTATAAAGGGTAATTTGCCCTTTTCGACATTTGATTTTAAAATTACACTATTTTAAAACAGCATTTAAATCAGCAAAAAAAGAATTATTTCACGGATATTTACCATTGTTTGAAAGTTACGGATATGAAAATCTGAATAATAATAATTTTTTAACTACTACTTTTCCCTGTTTAGTAAATTTTAGATATGTAGTAAGCTTACAGTATTCCACTGTTTTATAATGTCGTTTTTCTGGTACCATTGCTGCCAGATTTTCACTTTTCTTTTTCTTCTTTTTTTTTTTTACAGTGCAGCTCTAAAATTAACATACTGTGCCTCTGTTTTGCTGGTAATACATAATTTTAAAAGTTCCAGTGCACTTGTAATGGAGTTTTTTGAATTACACTGATGCAATTTTTCACCTCTGATAGTGTATTTATATTGGAAATTTGATATTCAGCAAATTATGTGGACCAAAAAACCCTTGATTTTTAAGTTATGTACACTATTATCACAAAATGCAGGAGTAGCAGGACATGGGAATGCTGAAACAGCAAGAAAACATGTTTTAAACATTTACAAAAATGTTTTAATGTTGTTGATGGTAGTGAAGCAGCTCTTAGAACACATCAGACAGCAAAGCAAACTGTTTGTGATGTTTAAAAGTGACATTTATTTCAAAGCTGTAGTTTGATTGATATCCATTACACTCACTCACTCTTTACAATATAAAGTGTATTAATGTCTTTTGTGCTACTTGCAACAACTGTATCTACATGAATTAGTGTGTAGCACAGACTGTAAAAAGAGTGTGTAGCGTGGAGCTGGGACAGAACTCTGCACATCACTGGCAAAACCTGAGTCTTCTCTGTCGGTGTCTGTTTTGTATTTTGGCACAAACTTAGAATTTAAAAGGAGAATTTAGTGATTTATTGCTCTTCAGTGAAGTTGGGTTACTTGCAAAATAGTAAAATCAGAGCAGACACTTAATCTGACCTTTGCTCTCTAGAAGGAGTCAAGGTCTGAAAATGTTTCATTGTACATTTCCCACAATGCAACATTTGGTGATATCGTTGAGGTTCTTCTTTCAGACTTGGCAAAGCTCATCCAGAACTACATAAAAAAAACATTTTACTGCGGTTTTCACAAACCAAAGAGTACTAATCTTGGCAAGCAGACTCATCTTCAGGTGTAAAATCTGAGATGTGCCCTTCAAGAAATTGTTTTAAATAAACATTTTGAAAAGGGAACAACAAGAAAATAATGATTCTCCATGAGCAATAAATGTTGGTTGTTGTTCCCGGTATTTAATTTTACAGCTTGTTCGTTCAGCTCTGAGAATAAACACCCCTGAAATAATGGAGACCCACAACAAAACATCAAATTCCTTAATGACAGGAACATTAAATTCTACACAGAACTCAGCAGGAAGTCTGGTTGTTACATCAAACCAATAGTGAAGCCTGTTAGGGGGCTACTCACCTACTCATAGAGATGTATTTATATCCCAACTCTGATGTAATTTCAACTGAAATATCAACAATTCAACTACTGTTTCAGACAATTCTTTAAAATCATTTGATTGTTACATAAAACACATAATGTATGAGTCTTTGTAATTTATTTCTACAAGGCTGTCGTGTAAATAGGCAAATGATAAAAGTAAGTGAACTAAAAAATGGACAATTGAGTCTGCACAGTAAAGAAAAACTTAAAAAAATAGGGTAATACTGTGACAGGCAGCGCTCCAAAGGAGTACTGTAAAAAAACAGAAAGTCAAACCATTTCATTAAAACAAAGTAATTTTACATAATTAAAATGAATTCCCAAGCCTTAATTTTACATGAAATCATGTGTATTTTAATTTAGATATATATAATTAAAAAAAAAAAAAAAAAAAAGTATTAATTTCATCACTTCTGTAATTATACAAGACACCCCTCATTTAACAAATACATCCATGTAAAATGACAGAATACTTTTTATGTTATTGTCACAAATTGCATCTAATTTAAAAAATTACTTAAATGATTTAGAAATCATATTTACAGCATTAAGCTTTTTCGTTGAATACTTTGATAAATAAATACAGTTTTATTTACCAAATAAATATACTGTAAAATTACAATACATTTTGCAAATGTATTTTATTCTTTTTTTTGCAAAACATTTTAGTTTTCTTAAAACAACAACAACAACAACAACAACACGCATTTCATGGTTATTCATGGTTTCATGGTATTTAATTCAACACTAGATGCATAATGCTCTTAATCCACTTATAATTTTATTGACATGTTTTGTGTATTTCAAAAACACATTAAAAAAAAACAAAAATCTGTAAAATTGAAAAGGAAAAGTTTTTCTTTTTCTTTTACAATACAGACACAGAGAGTTGCCACCCAGGGGGAAAAACAAAACAAAACAAAACAATAAGAATATCCGTTTCTGTGCCACCCCAGTGTGCGTAATTGTCTCAGCCTGGCCTCTCCAGTAAAAACTGTCTGCCTCCTTCACTGGAAACCAGTAAACCAGCAGGACTGATGCTGTTTCCCTCCTCTGCCCTCATGAAACTCATTCAATGGACAAGTGAAAAGTCATGTTAACATAATAAAATATTTTCACGTATAATCCATCGTCTATAATCATTTATTTATTGTTTCGGATTTGATGCCAATTTTAGACTCTCCATTGACAAACCAGCTTTTACAGATTAAACTGGATTTCCACAGACAGAGCTGAGGCTCCGCAGATCAGCATTAACGTGGATCCCTGTCTAACACCCGGCTGGGAGACAGTCAGAAGAGTTAAGTGGAAGGTACGCCAGTTATGTCCTTTTAATTGAATTAGCTCCAGTGTAAACAATAAGCGCTTGACGCGAGATGACAACTGTACCGACTTGGCAGAGTCCCGCTGGGGGAGGCTGCTGTCTGCCCGCCTCGGTGCTCCGACTGCGGGGAGAGAGAGAGGAGTCTGCCGGCGGGGCCTGGAAAGGCTATTTTGATAAGTGACACCCCCCACCTCTCTCACACACACACGCACACACGCACACGCAGAAACACACAGCTGCTCGGAACCATGACAGAAGATGACGGATACAGTTGTCGCGGAGGGACAAGTCAAATTTAGAGATGGAAAAAAGGTCAATTCCACATGTTTCTTTCTTATTTCACGCTTTGAAATACACCCCAATACTTCCAGGCCAACCGGAGGAATGTATTTTGTGATTCACTCTTTCTTTACAAACTTCTCCACAGTGGAAGACTCGGTGGGTCGTTCTTCGGAAGCCCTCGCCGGTCGCAGGTATGTGCCCAACCACCGCTTCTATTTTTACTGTCGTCTCTTATTATCCCACACTCATGATTTGCACATTTTCACAGCCACACAAAGACCTGCCGTTTATTCATCCGTATCATCCTGCACTAATCTCTTCCAATTTTCTCCAGTTTAACTGATCACAACTTGCCAATTGGTCTGTTGGCTGTGCGCCACGGAGCGCATAACGCACCGTATCGGCGTCAACACGCGTGGACATTGTGCAAATACATCAGCTGAATTGATCGGGTGAATTTATTCAAATGACCAAAATCAATTTTAAAAAGGTGCCGACAAAACATGAGCCCTGCCGCCCCTTACAAATTAAGAGTCTGGGTGTTACATTCTAGGGCTTTATCAGTACCAAGTGGATTTAAGGTTAATTATTTGAAAGCCTTCCAGCCAACAAATAAAAAAATAAAATAAACCTTGACATTGCCAAAGTGTACCAGAGGTTTCTCACTGAAAGCTTGGCAAGAACAGACAGCCACACATGTCTTAAAAAGTGAATTCACTTGAGATGCTGTGAGGACAGACACTGATCCCCCTTCAGCGTACAAAAACATATGGCTCAGAAGGCCACTGCTGTGTCCTTGAAGAAACTGGCAAGAGTGGTGGGAATATCGTGGGCCACTCCGCTCCTCTCTGCCCTGTATGTCAATATGTGTGTATTTGTGGCTTGACTTTCATTATCAGCTGTGCCAGTGGATCAGCTCATTGTTTCAGGGTTTGTTATGACAGCTGTGCCACATTAGACAGGCAGGCATGCAGCGGGGGATCGCAAAAAAGAATCCTGCATTCCGCTATTAAACATGAATTGTACTTTAAATGTTGTCAGATTGTAAAGGTTGTCTCTTTGTGTGTGTCCCAGACTGTCTGTCTTTGCTGGTGTATAAAGACAAGAAGAAAGGGAAGGAGAAGAGCAGCGGCCACAAGGAGAGGCTCAATGTAACGCTGGAGGTGCGTTGAACGTGGAACCAAAGGTTTCTGATGGCAGGTGCAGGAGATGTGTGCTGGTAGCAGGTTGACTGAAGCTCTTTCATGATTTGCTCTCATATACCTCAGCTTTTCTGGTGCTGTTGGGAGGCAGCTGTTGCATAAATGTGCAGTAATGTGATGTGAATGCCGCATGGATGGATAAAAACACAAAAACTGCCCAAATTGTTAGAGCACTGGTTAAAAAAACTGTAACACAATGTGACAAACACAGAAAATCAGCAGAAAAGGGAGCTGAAAACACACCATAATCCACTAAATTAAATGTGTATGGATTTGGCACAAGTGTCCTCAAGAGTATCATATAAGAAAGCTCAGTGTACATCATTATTATCTACATGAACTAATTCCCAGAAACTCTCTCAGTAAACCGAGACCAAAGGAACCAGAGGGTCACAAGATCTGCTTTCTCTGATATTTGAGATAGTTTTGTGCTGCGGTCTCATGTTTCAGTTTGTCACTATGCGGTTGCAAAAGTATCCACACCTGACGTCAGGATTTCATCGGGTCAAATCCGCTTGACCTCAGCTATAAATCGTACGATGAAGAAAGAAGAAAAGAGCATGCTGGCAATATTTTTTGCAGTTTGCGTGTATTTTTCTGTTGTCCCTCAGGGGATCTGTGGTGTGGAGCCTGGTCCTGGGTATGACGGAGTGTCCTACAGCCTCTCCATCCTCTGCCTGAACCACATGCTGGTCCTGGGCTTCAACAGCAGAGACGCCCTGCTGGCGTGGGACGCCCGCATCCGCTACAGCCTCGGAGAAGGTCAGTGGCTCAGCCTCGCGGGGATGATACAGTCCCGAGTAGTTGTTCAAAGATGTCACAGATCAATGCGTTTAACGGGGATTGCTGGTAACACACATGGAAAAGTCATTTATTTAAATGTAAAGTTGGATCAGGTAAGTCTTTGCAGTGTTTACCAATTTTACAGATTTCCTTGCGCGTCGTTGATGACAGTAACATTCTGGAATGGAGCCATTTGATTCAAAAGAGCATCAGCGCCGATTAAATAGTTTAAAACTTGTTTATAAATCAGTTTATAAAAGGACATCAAATCGTACTTGACTTGTGTTGACCATACACCCAATCTGCTACAGCATCACTCCTTTTATTTAGGCTATTTATTATTATTCCTTTTCTAAACTTTTTTCTTTGACCAGTGAAGTGTCGTGGAAAAAGTGATCCACAAGTATTAATTTTTTATGTTTCAATCGCATGTTTAATCATTCAGAAATGTCATATTCTGTATGCATTCATTTACTTCTAATAATAGTTGTAGAAGTCATAATGGAAGTGATATTAATTTCTGATATTTTTAGTCTTTATGTGTCCTTTTGCACAGATTTTGAACTTTCACTTTTCACTCCATTAGGTTTGTTCACAACTCTGTGCTGCTGTAAATGTGAACAGGATTTAGGGGATATAACTTTAAACATTTGATCAGCTTTAAAATAAAGGACAACCTAAAGAAAAAAGGTTGGAAAGCCAGAAACCTCAACACCTCCTGCACACTTACTGTTCATTGTGACTGTTCACTCTTCAAATATGATGTGCATGGAATACTTTGCTCATTGTGAAGTAATTTTACAACATCATCGTGTCAGTCATTATCTGAATTTCAAGCCTGAAACTGTCCTTGTGTGTGTAGGTGTGATTTAATTGGCTACAAAGAATGTCAGAGAACAAAGCTGTGTGTTACTGAGTCCGTACGGGTTGGGATCAAAACACTAGAGGCCACTTTATAAAACTGACGAGAGAAACTAAAGTTGAATTTTGACAGCAGACAGACACTTTCTGTCTTCCATCACTTTAGCTAATCTCTGTCTTCAAAATCTGGTGCGTCAACTTCACAACTTTCCTTCAGTAGATTGAAAAGAAAGATCTGAGGGGAAAAGAGCAAAAACAACTTACACTTTTATCTCCAATTTGACAAAACTGCACATTATTAACAGCTCCACCAAAAACTTCTCACATAGTTTTGGTTCAATAAATATTAAAATGATCTAATATCTCAACAAAAATGAAAGATTAGAGAAAACCTTCAAAAACTGGCAACAAATTTGTGTATCAGAATTGATCTTTTCTTCTTTACCTGCTGTTCCTGTATATAAAAATGGATATAAAGTAGTAGTGGTAAAAATAATCCGTCAGAGGGACCAAACCAGGGGCCTCATTGATCATCAGTGCGTAAGCACAGATATGTGCGTAGAGCGTGCGTACAAACATTCCTACGCAAAGTATGGAATTTATCAACTTGTACTTATACTTAGGAATGTGCGTAAATATACGCACACCTCTGACCATGCGTACACACAGAATCTAGCGGCAGAATAGTGAAACTACAAATAGAAAGCATTCGGGGATTTTGACCACCGGCACATTCCAGCGTGAGGTTGGAGACATATGCGGCATTTCCTGCCACCACTGAGCAGGATCAAGCCGGCAGTGTTGGATGCCATAATTCCCCTGGCCACAGCCTACATCCAGTTCCCTTACAGCCATCACCGATGAGCCCAAATCAAACGGGGACTTAACGCCGTCACTGGATTCACAAACATAAGTGGAGCCATAGACAGCACCCACATAGCAATCAAAGCAGCATCACTAAACGAGCTTAATTTTGTAAATAGGTAAGGCTTTCATTCAATCAATGTACAGATAATTTGCAATGCGCATTTGTCGCTATCCAACGTCTGCAGCTTGGAGGAAGGCATGACTCATTTATTGAGCAGAACAGTTCTGTGGGTGCGTCTCCAAGCAGGAGCTGCTGAAGACGGCTGGCATGTTGGTGAGTGTCACAGAGTGTGAGATGTTTTAGCTGAACTTAGTTTGGTTATTAAAACATCTTATCTGTAGGTGAACAGGGTTATCCACTGGGTGAAAGCTCGGTATTAATTCGCCCTTCTTGCCATGATGATGACGACAGGTGAGGAAAAAATAAATCTTCACTTGCTTTATAAAGAGGTGTGTTGTTGCCATATATGGTGATTTGGAGGCGTTTCTGAAGACAGCGTGCACGAGCACGGAGGTTAAAAACGAGTGTGATTTATCAACACTGATGTGCGTAGGACCCACGTATGCACGTTTGATAAATACAGATTTTTTTGTACTTACGCACACTTTAAATTTCATGCGTACGACAGAATTTAGAACCGTTTCTACACACTAATGATAAATGAGGCCCCAGGCCCCATGTACAAAGGGTGCGTATGCACAAAAATGTAGCTTTTCCATGCTCACATTCAGATGTATCAAGAGTGAAATGATTGTGGAAACGTGCGGTCCTTTGCGCCAACTTCTTGACTGGCGTACACATGTTTCGATTGCTTTTGAGCCGTTGGCGACACTTCGAGGTGATGCTTGGAAACTGTTAATAATGTAAAAAAAAAAAAAAAGGTCATTCCTCAAAGTGATATGCACATCAGAGATACACAGATAAACAATTAACACACCCAGGTGTTTGCAATCAGATGAATGGATGTAAAAGTTTGCGTAAAATGGTGCAGAAAATACCGGTAACAACAATGGCAGCTTTGGCAATGTTGGAGGATATTGCCAATATAGCAGTGCGAAGAGAACAGACTTCCGGAGACCTCAGGACGACGACTGGCTGATCAGCAGCTTTAGGTTCCCGAGGACAATCCTCTTGGAACTGTGCGCGGACCTGCGGCCATTATTGGAGCGCAACACGGCCAGGAGCAATGTCCTACCTGTGCCCATACAGGTGCTGACCACATTGGGCTTCCTCGCCACAGGGTCATTTCAGTGGGAGCTGGCCGACCGATCAGGATTGTGACGGTCGACATTGAGCCGAGCCATGCCAGCTGTGTGGATGGAACTGTCCGAATGTCGGCCAGATATATCAAATTCCCATACACTGCAGTTGAACAGGACGACATAAAAGTGCAATTTGCAACAAGGCCGGTTTTCCTCTCGACTAGCTATCGACTGCACACACATTGCTGTAAAGGCACCATCATAAGATCCATCCATCCATT